CAAATATGGAATGGATTATTTGAGCTGGGTTTGGGTTAACCATTAAAATTGGTATTTTGATAAGTTGTCATCCAAAGTAGTAAGTTGACTTAATAGGATTAACCAAATGGATGAAATTGCAATGCAAGTTGAAATTTCAGAGTGTGATGTAAGTTTTCAAATATTAAAGGAAAATATGTAAGAAAAGTAAACCTTCAAGGGGGTGTAAGTGTAATTTACTCATTTTTATAAATGCAAGTGTGCAAGGTAAAATTTTTCTCCACAAGGAAAGCGAGATGACAGGTCCCTTCCTTTACTCTGCCAAGAGAAACCAAAAAACATTAGTGATCACCCCCGACTAGGATAGGTTGGGAGGACCCTCCGACGGTTAAGTCAGAATACTATTTGGCCATAGATGATTTCTATTTAAAAGAGAGATCTTGGATTATCTCTGGTCTATCCTCTTTGCTTCACCTATTTTGGCTTTTATAGTTTTCCTAACTTGAGTCCCATCCATTGGATCAATATTTGATCCAAGGGTTTTGCCTTCATCTGGCTTTGGTTGGGCAAGTGACCAAGTTACTTTTGTCTCTGATCGTTGGATCATCCCTTTATGAACGACTTAGATTATGTCAGATGCTAGTAGCCAACTTGCCAAGCGCTATATTTGTTGGATCAGGTTGATTGGATAAACTTACCATCTAGTAGGTCTAACCTATACTCCTACATTTGATGTCTGATATTTCCATTGTTGGATGAAACTTAATCTAACGTCCTCTTTCATTCTGCAAATCCTTCTTCTAGATGAATATTCACATACTCAACTGTCCCCATGCTTCTAGGCATGCGCTAGCTTGCTACTAATCACTTCTAATAAGCTCTTTAAAAGCTCATATGGCCCTCCTCTTTGGTTTGGATGCCTAATTAACTTGGTCTTGGGCCAACATTTTATCCCTCTACAATTGCCCTTCTTCAATGACCGACCTGGGTTGGTTGCCAAAGACATTGGTTAGATTAGATGATAAGCCGAGCTATTTTCATTTATGACATGCATCCTTTGATTTCGCCTTTAATGATGACATTCGTCATATCGTCCTTCTTGATGACGTTATCGTCTGTCTTCCTGTTGACGATAACAATATCGTCGAAGGGTCAGAGAAGTGGATTCCATGGCCCTTAATTGACATTGTCAAATGAGGAGTCTGATTCCCTCTGTACTCTCTTCTCAATGAGGTATTGCACTTCTATGGCGTATCCGCTTCTCAGCTTACCCCTAATTTCTTTGGCATAGTTATGGGAGTGATTGCCTTGAACACCATTTTAGGAGTAAACCTAGATCTCCAAGAGATTAGATACTATTACCATTTCTTTCGTACTACCAAAAAGAGGATAAAATTTTATTTCAAGCTCAGATCGGCAAAGCGCCAATTAGTTCAAATACTTCCTGATTCTAGCAAGGGTGTCAACAATATAGTTGTAATAGTGGAGGGTAATTAGGAGTTTCCTCTTGGTGCTGATAAGGTCTGACCTATCCCTAAGGTCATCAGCTAGCCAAATTAATGCTCTCATTTTTCTTACATATGAATTTACTTTTTGTGGGATTTGCGCTACTCTTATCTTTTTCCAATAATCCAACAACTTTCAAAACATTAACAATTAGGGTTTTTTCAAAAATTGGGGCTTTATCACTTTTAGATACCCACATGTAATTTTATATAAAGAAAATAAGTTTAATAGCAAGATTATAGATAATCAATCCCCCCCCTCCAATTTAACCAAACCCTTCCCTCTCAAATTATGATTTCCAAAATCAACCACAATAACAACACAACACAACTACTACATGATTCTTTGTACCCAAAAATACCACAACTACACTACCAAACTCATATTAAGTCAATGAAATAGAACCCTACCTCATGAAAAGAAGAGGAGAAAGTAGAAACAACCTTCCATAACTGAATAAAAATCTTGTCGAGATTAAATTGAAGCTCTTGCTAAGCTCTCCAACAAATTGGGGCGAAATCACACAAAGGAAAAAAAGAGAGAAGAGAAAAAGGACCAAAATCTGATATTTTCATGCACAGACTGCCTTATATAGACTTACCATCACGGTTGTGGTCCAACATCTTCCGGGCGTGATCTCCCCGCCTTTATGGCCGCGGTCAAGAATATTGTAGATACGATAAAGCTAAACCACTAATTGCGGGTGCAACCTAACCTATCACAAGGGCGGAATGACACTCAACCCAAAAGTACTATGAGGCAATTTTTGGTCACTGACTACTCACAACCCTTCACGGGCGCGACTTTCCACACACACACATCGCGGGTGCGATGATATTGATCATGGGCGCGATCAAGCTAGAACTGGTTTTGCTCCTGGTTTTCTTGGGACAGTTCTAAGGCAACACCAAAGGTCCCAAGTACATGAAAGTAATAATAACATGACCTACCAATTCATAAGCCAAAAGCACAATGGGCATCCATACAAACGGTTTCAAGTGAGGTTTTAGAATCGGGATTCTACACCTCTATTCCTCGCTGAGTGACTATATAGCCGAGAAACTTTCCCAAGCCAACCTCAAAGGCGCATTTTGCTGCATTCTGCTTCATTTTGAATCTTCGAAGGATCCCAAATGCTTTTCGAAGATCCGTTAAATAGTCCTCACTTCGTTGTGACTTGATTACTATGTCATCAATATACACCTCGAGGTTTTCCCCAGTCAAATCATGGAACATCTTCATAACCAGACGTTAGTACATTCCCCTCGCATTCTTTAATCCAAGCAGCATCACCTTGTAGCAGAACAACCCCACAGGGGTGATAAAGGCCGTTTTGTCCTGATCGTCTGGGTGCATATCTATTTAATGATACCCACAGTATGCATCTAATAAGCTCATCCTGTAGTGTCCAAACATTGCATCTACCAACTGGTCAATTTTTGAAAAAAGAAAAATCATCCTTTGGACATGTTTTGTTTAAGTTGGTGAAGTCCACACAAACTCTCCACTTTTTATTCTTCTTATTTACAACGATGGAATTGGACAACTACTCCAGATTTTTGAACCTATCGGATGGCATCAGCTTCCAGTAACCTTGTTACTTCCTCTGTAATGGCTTTCACATGCTGTGGTGCCAATCTCTTGCTCTTCTATACTATTGGTTTGGAGTTTGGGTCACATTTAGCTTATGGCAAGCCACTTTTGAATCAATCCCTTCCATCTCATATAGAGTCTATGCAAACACATCCCTGAATTGTTGCAGGAAGTAGATCAAATGGTCTCTTTCCACCGTACTAAGACTTTTCCCAATGAAAAAAAACTTTTCCTCGTTTGTTGGGTTGATTGGTACTTTCTTCAATTCTTCTGCACTTTTTGCGAAAGGCTCCATGCCGACCTATTCTTCGCATTCCTCTTGTGTTCAGACCTTTTGGATTCTCTTGTCAGCAGAAGATATTTCCATGCATTGTGTAGTAGACATTTGGTCATCCCTGATTTCACCAACACCATCTCCTGTTGGAAACTATATAACCTAATGGAAGGTAAACGAAACTGCTTTCATTCTGTGAAGGCATACCCTTTCCATTATTGCATTGTACAGGGAAGAGATGTTTACCACCTGAAACTCCACTTACTAAATTATTGTCTGCGCTCTTACTAGCAAGAAGACCTTTCCTAGAGAAAAAACTTGGCTAGAATTAAAGCTGTATAGTGGTGAATCTGCGGGATACAGGTCATCCTGTGACAACCCTAACTTCTTGAACAACTCGTAGTACATGATCTCCGAAGAGCTTCCTTGATCCACCAGTATCCTTTTGACGGTGAACTCCCCGATTTGTAACGTCACTAATAGAGCGTCACTGTGTGGATAGTGAATCCATGACAAGTCTTCATCAGAAAACGAGATCATTGCTGCTGACGAGCACATTCTCTTTATGGAAACTTCAAACAAGGCCATCACCTCCATTAAATGTGTCGACCTTCTAATCTCTCCCCTAACTTGATTTATCGATTTTTTTAGGGAGATTGAGTATATCATATTAGTGGTCGCCGACGGTTGGGTGTTCTCCTATTTTTCTCTGCGCTTCACTTTGTGATTCATAGAATGATCAATATGTGTTCGTAAATGCTCACTCTGCACCAACTATTCTAGGAATTGTTTCAAGGCCTTGTAATTTTTGATGAGGTGTCCGTAATCCTTGTGGTAGGAACACTATAGCCTTTAATTCTGAAGAGATGGGTCCCTGATCATTTGTGGGGGGCCACAAGAAATACGATTCATTCTGAATCTTTATCAATATTGTATATATCAGTTCTGTGAAGGTGGTAACAACTGCTCTAAAGGCTTTCTTTCGTGGCTTAGGTTGTTTGGCAATCACGTTTGATTCCTTTCTTTTAGGATCAGAAGCCTTCATTCATTCTTTCTACGGAGTTTTTGACGGAAGCCATGCGGGATTTGGTTCTTTAGACCTTTGTATATCGTTTGATCTTGTAATGTTGTTCTACTCGACTCATCAAGCCACCTACATCAGTAGGAGGCTCCATAGTCAAGGATTAGCAAAGCTTATTGGTCTACTACAAGCCTAGCTTAATTGAGGCAACCACTAATTGTTCATTATATCCATCTATCTAACAAACCTAACCAGTTCTAACAAACATAATTCGTAACTAATTTTGGTGGAGATAATATTCATATGTGATGCAGCACACCATGACTTAGACTACTCTCTATCATTCCCCCTCAAGCTAATGGGTAAAGAAGAGACCATGAGCTTGCTGGTAAGACAAAAGAACCGAGTAGCGGGAAGAGGCTTGGTGAAAATATTGGCCACCTGATTGGCAGTAGGAACATATTTGAGAATAAACTAATGAGCTGTAACTTTCTCACGGACGAAATGACAATCAACCTCAATGTGTTTGGATCGACTATGAAACACAAGGTTAGCCGAGACATTATCATACCATAAAATGGGAGGAGAAGATTGAGGAATAGAAAAATCCGCAAGCAACATTTGTAATCAAGTGAGCTCAGCAGCTGTATGAGCCAATGATTGATATTCTGCCTTAGTGGAAGACCGTGAAACAGTGGATTGCTTTTTAGAAGACCAAGAAATTAAATTCTTACCCAAATAAACACAATAGCCAAAGGTTGAACGACGATCAGTTTGATCACCAGCCCAATTAGAGTCACTGTAGGCTTGTAAACGAAAGTCACTTGAGACAAAATGAATAGCATGAGCTAAAGTTCCTTTAATATATCGCAGAATGCGCTTGATAGCAGAGAAATTTCCCACAGTTGGGGAATGCATGTATTGACATGCTTGATTGACAACATAAGATATTTCATGCCTTGTAATAGTGAGATACTGAAGTGCGCCAACAATACTGCAACAGAGAAATGGGTGAGAACAAGGAAAAGAATCAGCGGCAGTAGTGTTCATTTTAAGAGAAACAAGGGTAGCACATAGTTTGCAATCCACCATACCAGCCTTGACGAGAAGTTCAGAAGCATATTTGTGTTGAGAAAGAAAGAACCCTTGAGAGATTGGTTGGACAAAAGTGCCAAGAAAGTAGGAAATATCCCCCAATTCTTTCATGGAGAAAGCATGATGCATGTGAGATAACAAAGATTGAATGTAACCTTCATCAATCCCAATGAGAAGAATGTCATTGACATAGATTAAAATGTAGGTAATAGAGGAAGAGGTCTTGTGAACAAACAAAGAAGAGTCACACTTGTTTTGTAGAAATCCTTGAGACAGAAAAAAGGAAGAAAAGGTGGAAAACCAAGCTCTGGGAGCTTGTTTTAAATCATAGAGGGATTTATGAAGCTTGTAAACCAAAGTAGGATTTTGAGGATCAACAAAGCCTAGGGCTTGGTCCATGTAAACCTTTTCTTCTAGATGACCATGAAGAAAAGCATTGCTAATATCCAACTATTTGAGAGGCCAATGGTGATGAAGAGCCAGACAATGTAAAATGCGAATAGTGGATTATTTGGCCAGTAGAATGAAAGTATCTTGAAAATCCACCCTTCTTGTTGGAGAAAACCCTTAGCAACCAATCTGTCTTTATACCATGCCATAATGTCATTTAAGTTACGTTTGATTTTAAACACCCATTTATATCCAATGGATTGTTCAGAAGGACGTAAGGGCACTAAAGACCAGGTGCCTTGATATTGGAGAGCAGAGTACCCATCCATCATTGCCTGAAACCAAACTGGAGAAGTAAGAGTTGTTTTGTAAGATGTAGGCTTAGTGGATGCATCGGATGAAGACGAAGGAAGAGGCAGAGTACCAAACAGATTGGGATTTGGATTTAGTGGTCATAGGATGTTCATTAGTAGAAGAAGGACGAGGAATAGGTAAAACCATAGCAAGAGAATCAATGGGAATAGGACGGGAGGCAGAAGGTAAAGTAGAAACATGTGTTGGAGAAGAAAAAGGAGACTGGGGAACAGGAGAAAACTGTAGATTAACTTGTGTGGGAGGATAGTCGGTAGGGTAGTTTGAGGGAAGCACAGAAGTAGGCTGAGGAGTAGGCCTGTTAGGGACCAGTGGTGAGGTGGCTAAGATGCAGGACAAGGCCGAACTGATGTGGACAGATG